TTTATTATACTAATCTAAATATAAATATAGAGATGGCAAAGGACAAACGTCCTTTACTCAAATAGAAGTACAGATACTCATGTTTAAATTGACTGGTAAAAGTTGAAGTACTGACTACACTTTTGTACTCAAGTAAATGTAAACTACGGAAATATGTTCTTAAAGTATAACCACTACCTAATTTAGTTTCACGATGGTAACTACACTGCACATCATCTATACAAAATAATTTACATTTCTAACTTTTTTGACGGCAATTTTCTGCTGCAAAGTAGCCAAGCAACATCAATCTAGGGTTGTCGTGATACCATTAATTCATGTCACAATACTATACAGCTGAAGTATGATGATACCAACAAGTATTGCATACTGTAATTCATAACCCAAATCCATGAAATAAAGAAAAATGTCAGAAATACTAGATTTCATTTGTTATAATAGGCCTACTTGTACTGACTTAATAATTCCCTTGTTATTGAAAAAAAGTATTTGCATGTCTCTTTACCTAAAATGTATTCAAACCAACAAAAAAATACATTAAAAAAAAGATACAAATGATATCAAACGAAATTCGTTACAAAAAGAGCATTTTTCCAACAAATCTAGCCTATATGAAGTAGTCAAAAATTGTTAAATATTTCCTATTGCTATGTTTTTGTCTTATCAGGTAAGAATCCACAGTAGTTCAAAGTGTTTTGGCTATTAAATCTTAATCTGACAGGAGCAGAAATGAACGGATTCAGATTCGAACTGAAGCATTAGAAATTGTACAATAGGCTACTATTAAAATAAAATGTTCTATTGTTGCACAAACGTGTGAGCATTTAGTGACTTTCCACATGTAACGTTACGTATTTTAGACAGACCGTTAATGACGATACTACCACTTACAAACTACAGTGGCACCGCCAGTATTTAAGAGCCATAGTATCACCCTACTAGTACCTGTAAACCGTGCAATCCTACATCACTCTACAATATTGTCCAACAACACTCCTCAAAAAGTTGCCCTCTGTATCAATACCTGGACACAAATCATAACTTTACAGCTGTTAAGAACAACAGCTGTCATACTCGTTCATGAATGTCCAACATTTAACACTTCATTTTGTCCAAAACATATTTCAGTTTTTTTTTCTTTTGATAAAAACTTTGTTTGCATTATCCAAAATCTGCTTCATTTTCTTAAAACTGTTTTGTTAGTTTTCAGAGTAGTGTGTCGATTTTATTAAATGGATGAAGTCACTAATGCTGTTAGTACATTTTTGTATCATCTTTTTTTTTTCACGTGATAAAATCCTGATCCTTACCATTGTATTTTAATTCATAAATCACCCAGTATAAATACTTGTGATGTTATAAAATATTTATCTAACAATCCATCAAACAAATGTAAATGAGGACAACAGTGTATATAATATACATCTTAAAACTATAAAACAGTATAAATTCTATACTAAGAAATATGAACTGGTTGAAAAAAAAGGGAATAAACGGCATTGGATAATGTATTCATAAAGTATTAAATTGCTTTAATACCAACTGTACAAACGTAGACAAAACAACACACACACATCATTTTTTTTCACTGTATTAGATAAAAAGATCAGAGAAGTACAGTTCACCATGGTCTGAAGTGGACAAAAGACTTTAACCCCATCTGAATGCCAGATTTGAACAGGAATGTGTCTCGTTTAACTGTGATTCGATCAACCAAAATGCATCTTATTAACCGATATAAACATAACATCAGTCATGTTTACATCACTGACTCTATTTTTGTACATGAAAATACTGAAAATCCAATTTTATTGGGGAAGTTAAATCTGACAAAATTAACGTCTAAAATATGAAAATGTATTTAATTTAAGAATTAAAACACCATGGAGATATTTTGTTTGTTTTTATTCGTATTCATTTCAAAAGCATCAAGTGAGGCACCGTTCTCACACTGATACCAAACGCTGTGCAACAAGAAGAGTGCCACAAAACCGCTTTAATTACAGTTCACAGAAACAGTGTGGAAAACAGCAGTCTTTTAGCATGACATGTTTAATGGAGAGTCTGTGTAGGACACTGTGTAACTTTTGTAACAAGACACATTTCTCAGAGAAGCAGGGCAGTAACAAATGAAATAAATAAATAAATAAATAAATAAATAAATAAATAAATAAATAAATAAAAGATAACATTTATGGGTAATGTATAGTTAATGCAACATGAAAGTGAGAAGTATCTTGACTACAATGATAATGTTTAATTTTTGTTTTGTTTTCTCTCAGAACCATTTTATGTGCTATTTTTGTTATAACCTTTACGTAATTGTGTCTAAAACCATTCTTAACATCAAGGGGTCAGTGAAATCACATGTCCAGAGCTGTGCACGTATCATTCACCAATACATGACGTCTTATAAATGTGATGTACAATGGCCATCATTACACGATTAGCACAGCTAGAAATAAAAGGCTTGGAATTTACTTTGACATTAAAGTGAGACACTCCAGTCAGTTTTTTTTTGTTAAGTCTAATGGTAAGAAAACATTATAAATATCCTCTTAAGTGTACCTTTTTGTCACACTTTATCAATTTGAGTCTGTAGATTTCCCTTACAATAATCGTTTTTACAGGTCATTTTCTCAAAATGAGTTTTCTCTCCAGCACTCTCACACACACACACACACATACACCAAACTTCACAGTTTTATTCAAATCTGTATTCTAAAGGTTTTTACAGATTGAGATGTCCATTTGTCTCGTTAAATACAGCCTTTTATTGTACAACCTCCTCTGTAAAAACCATCACAATCTCACAGCAATTCGTAACTTTTTGATTTAGTGGCTAATTCAAATTCGTACAATGCGATCTCATTTATACAATTTAGTATGATTTGCTCATCCCTCAATGATGGTTGGGTTTAGGGCTCGGGTTGGGTGGTACACCTCCTTTTTAAAATCATACATATTTTGAGATCTGGCTATAAAAACATGAATTTCATATATCAAAAACAATTTAGACCCATCTTCATCCAATTTTCAGACTTTTTTGTCCAACAAATATATGCAAATTAAATAAACAATTTCATTTGCATATGTAAAGGTAACATTTTGTGACTCTTAAAGGGGCAGTTCAGCCAAAAATTAAAGTTTACTAATTGATTTCTCACCCACAAGTGTTTCCAAACTTTGAGCTTCCTTTTTTCTGCTGAACACAAAAGAAGATATTTTGGAAAATATTTTAATGCAACTAAATTGCTTTATGTTCAATTCACTTAAATTTGTAAACACAAATAAGTTAACTTGATTTCTTCATGTTGTAGCAACACATTATATGTGGAACCCAGCATTTTTTACAGTGAGTAAATTGTGACAGAATTTTCAATTTTAGGCGATTTATTCCTTTAATACAGTGGTTCTCAGCCCACATTCCTGAAGGACCACCAACTAGGGTTGAATTGATAGACGATGCCATCGCAGATAGACATCACCATGCTGAGTCGGCATCGCAATCCTCTGCCCTGCCCTCGTTGCAGCAGCAACCCGCTTGCGAAAACTACACACACTCAGACCCCGTTTACACTAAAGGCTGATTTATACTTCCGTGTCAATCGCACGCATATGATACGACGCAGCCTATGCGTAGTTGCAGAGCCCTCGCCGTGGATCTCGGCTAGCGCTGGCGAGTATGGGTAAGGTGAGAGCCACGCGAGCCCAATGCAGCGAGTGTTTACAAGTGTGAAGTCCTGTGAAGGAGCTACGAATGACACTGTTGTTTTGTGTTTACCTTATGATTAAAGTTGTGGCACATCCGCTAATTCCAGCCACAAAATGAGCGAGTTTGAACCACTTGTACATTAAGGTAGCGTTCAGAAAAAAACAAACAGCAGCGAAGAAACTCGACACAGAGGAACATAAACACCTACTGCCAGCTAGCGTTTCTGAAGTGTTACTGCAGAGCAACACACACAGCGTGCAGAAAGATAAATGCATGGCTAGATACATTGCATGCGCCATGGGTCTTGCCGATTATTTGACGCAGAAGTATAAACCAATCATAATACATCTGAGTTTTAAAATGACATTTTAGAATGAAAACGATCCATGTCCACGCTGGCATTTCACCAAGCTTCTCTGAAAAGCCCTCCTTCCACACTGTACTGCTGAATACACACATCACGTGACCAAAACCCACACACACACACTGTCATGCGCTGCAGTGCAGGCTAAGCGTGCATCTGACTCTGAGCTTCAGCAGTGACCCCAGAGAACAGTGCAATTTGGACAGTTTATCAAGGATGAACGCTGGATCACGTCTCACTATAAATGTTAAACATGATATTTAATAAATCGTGTTTCTATTTAACGACTCTTCAGTATTTTGAATCTATTAAGTAACGTGTCTCAGCGTCAGTACACTGCTTCAATCTTTCGTTTTCACACTTATACATAGTAATTTTGGTGAACCTCAGATACTGTTGGTTGGTTCCTGTTGGTTGTGCACCTTTTTTTACCAACCAAGTTTGTCGACGTCATTATAACAACACAGCTCACTCTGCCTTTTCATGCCAGAGTCCTGCAGAAAAAGTGATTGACAGGTGGTAATTTGTGTGTAACTTATCTTTATTTATTTATGATTTATGGGTAAAACAAAAAACATGCGGGTCTGGTAGTTGAAAAGGTAGACTTTAATTAATTAATTCCTTATGAATTAATTAATTATTCATAAATAATTAGCTCATCGTCGCGATGTTTCACATTAGACATCGTATGATGCCAAATTTTTCGACATCGCCCAACACTACCACCAACACTGCATGTTTTGGATGTCACACCCCTTTCAGGTCTTTCTGCTAATGTGCTGATGATCTGAATCATGTGTGTTTGCTTAAGGAGACATAGTAAATGTGCAGAGCTGGTGGTCCTCCAGGAACATGATTGAGAAACACTGCTTTAATGTAATCAATTAGCCGGAGAAGTATGATGCTAACTATTTTGTTTACCCTTTTGTTTTCACATGATGGTGACCCTCTCTGGGGAGACGTGAGCAGCCGGTCTCTCGTGGTTTGTGCGGCTCTGATGGGAGTCTAATCCACGTCGGATGCGCTTCAGTTTCCGGCTCACGCAGGGAAGCAGCAGCACTATTTTTCCAATGATGACGGTCACAGGTAAAATCAGGGCCAGGACGAAATTGGGTGGCATGTAGAAACGATAGGACTCCTCCAGAAACGCCCGCTGCCAGCCGAAAAGCAAAGCGTGAAACGTGGAGATGAGCAGCGCGATGTAGCCTAGAGTGGACTGATGGGATACAAACGCTCATTTGAGATTATATTTGCCAAGAAAACAGGGTTCCCACTCTAAACCAAATGTCAAAGTTATTTATTTAGCACTAATAAACACAACCAAGAGTTGGCCAATGTGCAGAAAAGCAAAATGGGTCACTGCACTGTCACCTCATAGCAAGAAGGTAGGTGGTTTGTGCCCGGGCTGGGCCAGAAGGCATTTCTGTGTGGTTTTACTTTTGCTAAATGTCGAAGCTTTAAAAAGCAGAATTTGACCACAGCTCAAATTTCAGATCATCATCAAAACTGACAGCCAGATTTTTTACCCAAGGTTTCAGAGAAGAGGTTATTTTGCCAAGATTTACTGCAGGTGTAAAGCAAGATGATAGACCAAACACAATTATCTTAGGGCCTACTCACACTATGCCATCCGTACCGTGCCCAGGCCCGTTTTCCGGATCGTTTGAGAAGTGTGAGTGCGCTGAATCGGGCTCAAGCACAGTTCACTTGGCCAGCCCTGGCCCAGTTGGAAGAGGTGTGCCTGAGCGCGGTTCACTTGGGCTTTGGCGTGGTACGCTTGTGTGTGAGTGCAAAACGCGCCAAAGCCCCAAACTGAAAGTGAGACGTGACTTTTACAGAGCTGTTTCATATGGATTTATTAATAATTCTTACTGTTCAGTGAACGCAAACTGCCGTAGTTTATCAAAGACGAGAATTCCTCACAGCACGACAGCTGCGCGCCTTCAGCAGACCTTCTCATTCCTGCAGTACGAGAGCTTTATGATTGTTTATGAGCGCCAAAAGTGGCGGATCTGTTCGGCGAAATATCTAACTGCGTGTCCCCGCATCCCTAAGGACTGTTTGGCGAAATATTTGACGGCATATCAAACGACTGAAACAATATAACTAGAGAAATCTCCACTGTGCTGCTGAGTGAGAGAGCGCTTCTCACTGAACAGCGCAGCAGCGATGACGTAAGCGTGCCGAAGCCCGTTTGTGGTGTGAGCGCGGGCCGTCAGGGGAGACGGGAGGGGGGACAAGCGTGCTTTGGCCCGGTTCGAGGCAACTGTACCTAGTGTGAGTACGGCCTTAGTTTAACTTTCATTAAAATCTAGAAACTTTTAATGATCTAATTCTCTGACATTTAATCAATAAAAAGCTGAATTGCCATGATTGTGATCTCTGAATTCAACACAAAATTAAGCAAATGGTACAAAATTTAGGAAAGCTTGCGATGTTTAAAAAAAAAAAGATAATATTAATTAACAACAAACTTATCCAGCATATGTTTTGCACAGTGGATGCCTTTCCAGCTGCATCCCAGTACTGGGAAACATCCATACACACTCATTCACACACATACACTATGGCCAATTTAGTGGACTGTAAGGGAACCGGAGCACACAGAGGAAACCCACGTCAACACAGGGAGAACATGCAAACTCCACTCGGAAGTGCCAACTGAAACAGTTAGGACTCGAACCGGCTACCTCTCCTGTGAGGTGACAGTGCTAAACACTGAGCCACTGTGTTGCCATATTTGCACTAATATTGCAATATATTGTAGGACAGTGAGGTGGTGTGATGTTGTGTTACCTGGATAAAGCTGAACTCCCGCCAGTTGAGTGCGTCGTGGACTGAGGGAATAGAAGTGACTGCTAATAGAGAGAGAAGCCCCAGGGCCATGATGCCGAAGGACACATACATCTCCACTCTCCACACCTCCTCTTCATTCCATGAGTTCTCGATGTTCGCATGAACCTACAGACCCAGAAATCAAATCAATTAATTTGTTGAATGAACATTTATTATTATTATTATTTATAGTATATATTATAATTTCAATTTTAGTGATTGTTTTTTAATAGTAATCATTAATCATTTGACTTAAAAATAAAAAAGTAAGTATGAATGATAAAGTACATTACATAATAAAATATTTGTAAAACTTAATTGCAAATAATGTGCTATAATAAATAACTATATATTTACATATAAATTAAAGTTAGTAATGACTAATACAAATATAATATTTGACTTTGGTGTATTTTTATTACAGTATCTGCATAAACTTAAATTTTTCTTATTATTATTTTTATAATCATTATCATCTTCTATATTCTCATTGAATGGGCGAGGCAGTGGCGCAGCAGGTAGTGCCTCACAGCAAGAAGGTCGCTGGTTTGAACCTCGGCTCAGTTGGCGTTTCTGTGTGGAGTTTGCATGTTCTCCCTGCCTTCGCGTGGGTTTCCTCCGGGTGCTCCGGTTTCCCCCACAGTCCAAAGACATGCGGTACAGGTGAACTGGGTAGGCTAAATTGTCCGTAGTGTATGAGTGTGTGTGTGAATGTGTGTGTGGATGTTTCTCAGAGATGGGTTGCGGCTGGAAGGGCATCCGCTGTGTAAAAACTTGCTGGATAAGTTGGCGGTTCATTCCGCTGTGGCGACCCCGGATTAATAAAGGGACTAAGCCGACAAGAAAATGAATGAATGAATGAATGAATGTATTCTCATTGATATATATATATTTGACCAATGATAAAAATAATTTGCATAATTCACATAATTATATAAGCAAAAATATATTAATTTTAATATAATTTTAATATTTTAAAATATTTATTAAACACATGTATATTATTATATTTACAATAAATAATTATAAACAAACTTTTAATGTAATTTTAAATTAATATTAATAATATTATTTAAAAATAATAATAATAATATTAAATTTAATTATAATATGATCAATATAAAAATGTATCTAAAATTTTGTATTAATATTTTATACTAAATAATTATACAATATATTAGAATTTCTATATTAAACAAATAAAAACACTACATCTGTGTACTTTATTACTACTATTGTTATTAATATTTTATGATAATAATATTTTATGATTTATGATGATTTAATGATAATAACTATTAGTAGTAGTAGTGATATTTAGTATTATCATTATTACTATTATTTAATATTATTATAGTTAGTTAAATAATTAGATAAAATTATATTCATTTCAAATGTTGATATTTATTATTGTATAATATTTTATGTAAAAATGTAATCATTCTTAAAATATGTATTACATTTTATATTAATATTTTCATGAAAAATTATTATGTAATATATTATAATTTCTCTATTAAAATAATTTAAAACTGTATTTTTGACTATTTTATAATTATGATTATTATTAGTAGTAGTATTTATTAAGATTATCACTAGTATATCATTATTATCATTATTCATTATTGTTAAATTATTATTCTTGTTGTTATTATTATTATTCATTACTTTTATTGTTATAACTGTTATTATTGTTATTATTTGTATTATTATTAATTAATAATATTGTTATTATAAGTAGTAGTATTTGTTCATATTAATATTTAATTGTATCACTATTATTATTATTATTATTAATAATAATAATAATAATAGTCGTAGTATTTATTAATTATATTTTTGCTTTCATTCTTGTTTTTGTTAGTATCATTATTCATTACTATAATCATTGTTATAATAATATTATAATCATTATTGTTGTTCTTCTTATTATTTATTACTAATATTGTTAACCATTATTAATATTATTAATAATAATAATAAGTAATATTGTTATTATTAGTTGTAGTTATTAGTAGTAATATTTATCAAACTTATTATTATTTTATTATTTATAACTATTACTACTACTACTATTATTATTATTATTATTATTAATATTATTATTATGACAAACCACAACCACAAACAGTAAACTTTATACAGTATTACACCCTCCGAGGCATTCCCAAAAAAGCTCATCCAACCCATCAGTGAATTCCCTGCATGTCATGAAAGTGAAGGTCACCTGCTGATAGGCCATGTTGAGCATCAGGTATCTCTCCGAGCGCCTCATAGGCAGACACAGGCTGTACAGCACATGAATACAGCCAAAGAAGAAGCTCAACAAACCCAGCTGTTTGCGGCTCTCCAACCAACCTTCCAACCAGGGTGGAAAACGCCGGTACTTGGTCCCGTACATGAGCTGATATGCGGCCGCGAGCTGTCCCGCTAAATACACCAGGGCTAGCAGAACTATGGCCACCACAGGCAGCGTCCTGTTCACTATTTCCAGAGGAATTTTGTAGAAGAAGCTCTGCCTGGTCTTCATGTACGGATGGATAATGTCCCGCACGAAAGAGTAGGCGAAGAAGAAGATGGACAAGGCCACGGCGGTCAGGACGGGTCCTTTCCAGGCCGTGAAGAGGTGCAGGGGCATGTTTTCGATGTCTTTGGCGGAGGAAAGAGCGCCCATGTCTACTGGGATGAAGCTGAGCTGACGGGACATTTCTATGAGCTGCTGTCGAGCGTCAGCTGAGTTACTGCAAATATACACCTTGAGGAAAGAGAGAAGTAAGTATTACTTTCAAGTTCAATTTCATTCATTTATTGTTGCATGCATTTAGGATGAATACGGTTATTACAATATTATTATTATTATGTATTTGTCTATATATTTATACATTTATGCATGTCTGTTATTAATAATATTGACATTATTATCATTCATATTATTATTTTATTATTTATATTTTTATTATTTATTTATTATTAACAATAACAATTATTACTAGCAATATTAATAAATAATAATTATTATTATTATTATTATTATTATTATTATTGACAAAAACAACAATAATATAATTAAATATTATTATTATTATTATTAACAACAACAACAACAAATATAATTAACATTATTATTATTAGTAGTATTATTATAATATGCGGCACAGTGGGTAGCACGTGGGTTAATTAATAATTAACCTAGTTAAGTCTTTAAATTTCACTTTAAGCTGCATACAAATGTCTTGAAAAATATCTAGTAAAATATAATTTACTGTCTTCATGGCAAAGATAAAATAAATCAGTTATTAGAGATGATTTATTAAAACTATTATGTTTAGAAATGTGTTAAAAAATTCTGCTCTCTGTTAAACAGAAAAGGTGGAAAAAAATAAACTGGGGCAAAAAATTCAGGGGGGCTAATATATATATATATATATATATATATATATATATATATATATATATATATATATATATATATATAATTTTTTTTCATATTATTTACGCATGCACTGTAAATTCCATTATTGGTACAAGAACCATTTTCATACTTTATAATGTTCAACTGTTTGTGTTTTCTTATTCATAATTTAAAAATAAAACGTATGTATTTAATAAAAAAATGAGCCAAATGTGTGAAATCAAGACAAAAGTGTGTCAATGAGAGGAACCAGAGAGGAATACAGCACAAAAACTATTTCCTAACATCCATATCCTGAGTGGAATTAACTCATAGAATTATACTGTAAGATACGAGCAGGTTTATGGTAAGGCTGTAATGGATTTTTCGTTGCATTAATAAAGTCTCTTCCTCCTTTAGAGGTTTTCAGAGAGAGAGAGAGAAGCTCATTTGTTCATCTTAATCTGCTCTTCACACAAACTCAGACATTTACATTCACTGCGGCTAGAGGAGGACTCTGGTAATACGTCATAATTCTTATCGTTTTTCTCCTCCTCATCATCACTTCTCAGATAATATGTGCTTTATAGTTCTATTAGCATACAGTATATAAGGCTAAGTTCTTAGCCCCTCTGTGAAATTTTAATTATTTTCCAAATAATTCTCAAGTGACGTTTAATAGTGCAAAGACATTTTCACAGTACTGTATTTTCTATAATATTATTTTTTTGGAGAAAGTCTTGTTTATTTTAGTTTGTCAGAAATTAAAGCAGTTTTACTTATCTTTTTAGTAATATTTTAGGTCAATATTATTAGCCCCCTTAATAATAGACTTCTTTTTCCATTAGGCTCTTGTCCAAAACTTTACCAAATTAATCTAAGTTGGCTAGATAAACTAGTTAAGCCTTAATTGCATTTAAGCTAAATAGTTTCTTGTAAAATAGCTTGTCAAAATAAAATGATTATCAGACTGCATGATTTTCAAAGTAATCGTGTCACAGATGTTTTCACACTGCATGACTATCTGGGCTAGCGTTTTGTCGCTGCTTTGTTTACACTGCAAGATGGATCGGTGACAGGGGCTTTCACATTGAATGCTTTTACAATAGAAAGAATCGCCAACAACTTCGTCCAAACTACGTCTCACAGCCAAAAACACGTAGTATATCTTTTGTTATTAACTACATAGGGAAAAAGAAGCCTTTAATGGGGTAGAAAATTAACATATTTGTTCACCTGGGTTTAAAGGGAATCAGCAATTTCTCCTCAACTTTCTTTTTTTTAACTATAGCGGCTTTCCAATGCTGCTATTGTTGGTAGAGTGAGCAAGTTTTTAACGTGTAAAAGTCAGAGTCCGTAGGCAAATAGATGCAAATAAAAACGTCTTTATTTTCCAATCAACTTCCAATCAACAGAATCACTTAATCACTTTCCTTAATCTATATGCACACTTCTCTGTTATCTTGAGTTACGTTACGCTCAGTTACGAGACGAGACGAGACGATACGATCAAAAACTGTGTGCTTCCTACCAACACTAGCGGCATTGGAAAGCCGCTACATAAAAGTCAAAAACTGTGCTTCCTACCAACACTGTCTCTTCCATGCAGTGAAGCCACAGTTGTATAGTCTCCTACTGACACCTTGTGGCCAATAGCCAAAATACAATGTATGGCTCCTACCTTAACTTTCTGTATGAAATGTCAAACAGACACGGGTGCTCCTGTCAAACCTCCACTAGTCTTTTCTTCATTTCTTGGGTCCAAATAAACCGAAAATGAGCGCTTTTAACTTCTCCCTCAACCTCCTGCAGGTAAACACACACACTAGAGGATGGTACTCTCTCATCTGTGGTAGGCAATCGCTGATGTTATTTTCAGTCAAAACTCATTTCACACGGCCTGATTTGAATCGCCGACAGCTCCAGAAATTTATCACGCCAAATATGTCATGGGCATCAGCGACTCATTGCGATTCTCTTAGATCGCATCTTTGATAGTTCATACTGTGTGATTGTCACTTTACGTGCACGAGCACCGATTTGCCTGTGATTACAGGCATTTGTCGGCGATTTCTCAAAACTTGTCGGCGAGTCAAAATCGGGGCTAAAATCATGCAGTCTGAACTCAGCATTAGAAACACCTCACATAAACATTTACTAGTTTGTTTTTTGTAATTTGATGCAAAGATAATATAATATGAAGCAGGCACGTGCACACATAGGGCGCAACCTGTGCAGTGCAGTCTTGGAAAGAAAGTGCCCTTCCAAAATGATCAAAAGTGCCCCCGCGATACACCCTCCCTTCTCCGTACCGCCCTTCAGTAGGCGCGCGACAACACCGCTCTTGAGTAAAAAGCTTTACATTACACGCGCGACAACACCGCTGATCAGAACTCGCGCGACAACACCGCTGATCAGAATGCGCGCGACAACACCGCTGATCAGAACGCGCGCAACAACACCGCTGATCAGAACACGCGCAACAACACCGCTGATCAGAATGCGCGCGACAACACCGCTCTTCGGTATTTCAGTAACCCCCCAATCCCAAGGCCCAAATCCATCCCCCTCCCCCCACCCGCTCTTCAAAAAATTTATCCTGCACATGCCCTTTGGACAGTCTCTGCACGGGCCTGATATGAAGTATAGCTTTATAAATGAATTAACATAATTCTTGAGTTTTTTTTTAAGACAACTCATTTGTTTTATGTTCAATCCATTTAAATTGGCAAAAACAATTAAGTTAACCTGATTTGTGTTAAGACAGGATGAAGGAACTGTGTGGAACAAAGGATTTTTTACGTGTTTCGTGTTGCTGTTTTTTCGACAACATACCTGTCGACTGGAGTCCCTGGGGCCCGACTGCATGGCCCAGGACGAGATCACATTAAAGCCTTTGACCACAGTGGATTCTGGGAAGAGGGATGCCAGATATTCTGCATTTGACTCTGGAAACTGGTTCAGCCGTCTGTTGTTGCTGACGTCCACCAGTATTTTTCCAGCCAGCAGGTGCTTGATGTCCCAGAGGGTGGAATAGTGCTCTCGGCGGATGGCCAGGAACACGATGTTGGCCTTTCCCAATGCGTCCTCGTGATGGGTCACGTCTACCACGTGCGGGAAGGATTCTGCCGCTCTTTTGGGCTGTCGGCTGCCCACCACCACATGGAAGCCACAGCGAAGCAGGCGGAGGGTCAAGCTTTTGGAGAAGTCGCCAGAGCCGATGATGCCAACCGTGGGCTTGCCGGATCCCTCTTTGGAGCCATTCTTCAGGCCATTGGGTAAGAAGCAGACTTTGGTGCTGGCTGGACTGCTGCCCAGCAGGGAAATTGAGTCCATTTTCAGGCCCAAAGCACCTCGTACTGGATCTTCAGACACTAATGGGATAAAACATTGTTAAAGGAGATCTCAGATGATAATTGTTAGTTATGCAGTTGAAAATAACATCTTACCAGCTTATTTAAAAAAAATGTAGAACCCTGTGATTTTCTTTTGCGGTGACTTTATACCGCCTTTGTAGAAGACAACCCCCCTTTTTTTCCAATAATTAGCTTTTTTTCTTTTCTTTTTTTTTGTGAAGCTGATTAAGGTTAGGATGAGCATTAACCTTATCCTAACCTTAATCGGCTTCACAAAAAAAAAAAAAAAAAAAAAAAAAAAAGCTAATTAATAATTTGTTTCTTTACATAACTATATTTCATTATTATGTTCAAAATTAGCAGATTATACTACACTCCCAGAAAAAAGCCTTATTGCCTATCTAAGTTTTAGTAACATCAAATAATAACTTTTATGAAAGGCAAAGGCCTTTAGATTACGCTTTACCAGAATAAAATATGATCATGGCTTGATTTTAGTTATTTAATTAGGACAGTAAAGTCTGACTTTTATTAGACAAAGGACTCCCAGAGTTCATCAAGATTCCATCTTACTCCAGACATGCTCAATAATGTTCATGTCTGGTGACTGGGCTGGCCAATTCCTGGACCACCTTGGAAATTCTTCAGCACTATCCTGTGGATTGTAATGTAATGGGCAGCACAAATGTCTTGATACCTCAGGCTGTTGATGTTGCTATCCACTCTGCAGATCTCTCGCATGCTCCCATACTGAATGTGATCCCAAACTATGATTTTTTCCTTCAGCAAACTTGACTGATTTCTGTGAAAATCTTGGGTCCATGCTGGTTCCAATAGGTCTTCTGTGGTATTTGTGATGATTGGGATGCAGTTCAACAGATGATTCATCGGAAAAATCGACCTTCTGCCACTTTTCCAAATGATCGACTAGAATCAATACCTTGTCAAGTTATTATTTGTTGCTCTTACAATCGATGACAAGACTTTTGTCAGGTAGTGTATATATTTCACATGTCATGTTCTTATAGTTATTCAAGTATCTGCTTAATATAAAAATAACATCTCTAAATATGTCAGAAAATGCCTTGTCAACTAACTTAAATATCAGCTAAAATTACTAAATAATAATAGCGATATAAAAACAAAGCAATTTATACAGAAATTTTGGATTTGTTTATTTATTAAATTAAATATTTAAAGAATATTTACTAAAAAAACATTTTGCACAAATATATGTTTTAAAAACAAATTTGACATAAATTTCTAATATTTTGTTCTAAATATAGATAAATATCATTTTAAAGTATTAAAGACCACATTTGCATTGTTGTTTAATAAGAAATTTGTTTGTAACACTGGTAGAAAATCTTTATTTTATGTTTTTACTGAAACATTAAAAGGAAGGAACAGTTTTTAATGCATTTTTTTTTTCACAAATGTGGCAATATTTTTCTTTTGAAACCTTTATTTGAATATTGATTTAATTATTTAAATTCCTATTTATTTAATCTGAAAATAAAAGCTAATAAAAATGTTAATGTATGCTATGATAGTAGATAAATAATGCAATAACTGACATCAGATAAAACGGTTAATGAAACCTAAAATTGTTGCCTTGAAATGTAAATATAAATTACATTGCAAAGTAATATAAATACAACAGTATTTAAAATATATATTCACAAATGTACTTCAAATGTACTGTATTGTGAAAGCAAAGGAAATTACAAAAATATGTTGGCACAATGACCAAAGCATTTGAAACTATTAAAAGTAAAATTAAGTAGAAAATGACAATTGAATAATAATAGATTTTAATACATAAATATTACAATACAAATTATTTATATATATAATTTTAATAAATTATAAGCAAATTATAAGCAAAACAAAAAATCTTATTACTAAAAATATAAGCTGCAAAAGTTTTTTGCTGTTTTATTTTTTATTATTTTGTAGTCAAGTCTTTATGTGTGGGCAAGGGTGGATTTAGTAATTTGTAAACCCTAAGCAATTCTGGCCGTGGGGCCTAAAATGCACATTTTGTACTTTAATTTATTTTTAATTGATTTATTTTGCTGTTTTTTTATTTTATTTTATTCTTAAATCACTCAATCTCTTTTTCTACATTATTTTTCTACATTATTTTGCATCTTAATGTAACAACATGTAAAGCATCTTGTAAAACGTTATTTGTATTAAAATGAACAGTTAAAAATGATATATTAACTATTACGTTTTTAAAACTAAATCTTTACCTGATTTGACAGCTGAATTCCTCCGTGGGTGAGGCTGGAAACACATTTGCGCAGGTGTAATGAACGTTAAACTTTTATATAACGTTAGCCTATTTAGATCCTCATCATGCAAAATATGATAGAAAATGATGAATTTTATTGGTATAATTTATACTTCTAGGTATTTATTTGGGGGCCCTCAGATTTTCTTGGGCCCTAAGCAACAGCTTACCTTGCTGATTAAATCAACGCGTTTGTAGGAACAATGATAACTAAAAAAAACTGCCAAGTTAAACATCTGGATGAATTACTGTATGCCATCTGACTGGGAAATGTGCCTGTTTGGCATACAAACCAAATGGTTAATTCAGTTCAATAGTTTTTAAATTATCATTTGCGGATCTTCATTATGAAGTAGTTAGCCTAAATGTTCGATCCACAGGTTGATCCATGATGAAGTGTCTCCAAATTAAAACTCATTAAAAAATTAAAAAGTATTCCTGTCAAGAATCAAATTCGGCATTCTTCTTCAACACTAACATGCTATGAAACCTGAAACATGCGACGTGACTTGCCAAAAATGATTGTATGCTAATATGAAAACAACAGAACATAAATCATCCTTTATTCATCATAACACCAGAAAGAGCATCCATGTATTTATATCACAGCATAGACAGGCTGCTCTGTAAATCACGCGTTATGAAGGTATAATAAAGCATGACGCATCCGACTGATATGCAACGTAATTGCGAAAAAAACGTTTCAAGGTTATAATAACGGTACCTGTAATGGAATCTGCGGCGGCACCATCAAGCAAACCGATCAGATGTCCCTCACCGGTGACGGTTCCCCCGCCCTCCGTCCGTTTGATTTGCACTGACCCACGCTAAAGTGGTATATACGGAGAATGTCCTTTACTAACCGGCGACTGTTTTAGCAGTTTATTTCCTCTAGGAGGCGCGAGGAGGCTCAAAAAGATTAATTCTACACTGAAATACATGACAATTCCAGGACGATTTTCGATTTATTGAAAATATATGTGGATGTGAGAGTGTAATCGGTTTAATATAACAATTTAAGCTGACTCAAAGCAGAAAAAGACATATTTGATATACTATTTTCCATCGCACTCATTTAATAACCACATAAGAACGTGATTGGTCCATCTAGATGAGCGCTGAGAAAAATAACAGTTAGCATGTGATGTTCTCATGCTCAGCATGAGCAGTCTTTTGTTTTTTTTTGCTAAAAAGTAAACAATAAAAACTTAAACAGACATTTTATTAAACGTACACAATTTACAAATAAAATATGTTCGATTTTGACTACTTCCGGACTGCTGTACCGACTCGTTGTGATTTACTATTTATTATAATTGGTCGTTCTTGTTTTTTTTCTGTTTTTACATGTTGGAGGAATGCAGCTTGTCTCTGATCTGATGTGTGAAGACAGTCCTCTGCAATGGGAAACACCTCTGGGTTGATCTGGTAATTCGGTAGTGTATGCTCAAGCCCCACAACAAAGCCTAATCACCTCATCGTTGTTTCGAGCTCACAAAACAGAAGATGCCAATACAGTAACGCAAAAAGGCAAAGATGCTGATTTAGGAGATGTTAGTACAGGTAATGCTAATTTTCTTAAACACTATATCATATTGGAATACACAACATTTAATTTTCTCATTTAACCCCTTATCTGCCACTCCACATTTTTAGTTCACTCTTTTAGGTAGGCTATATTTATTTTATTGGCAATTGTAGTAAATATGAACACACACACACACATACATATATATATATATATATATATATATATATATATATATATATATATATACTATACACACTACCTACTGCGCCACCACGTTGCCACTCCTATATCTGCTCATTAATATGTACTTCACTTCAGCATATTAATTAACCAGCATTTGCATTGTACACCAGAACAACAGACAGAAATTGTCTCTAAAAACTGACAGGACAATAAACATTTAGATGAGCTTGTTTTCTGATTCGAACACAGTCTAAAGCTTTAGTCAGGCCACAATTGCACATCACAGGTGAACAATAAAAGAGCAATACACTGTGACAAAACCCCTTTAAGCCAAAGCTGATGACATTTTCACGTGAGAGGGATTGAAACAATTCATTAAAATGAAAATCCCTGCTATATGGGCTGCACAGCAGATTAATGAAAAACCTCAAATAATCACACATAACAGCTTCTCTGACTATGAGTGTAGCTAGATGGATGTATTTATTAAGGAGTTAGATAGATGGATGTTGATTTATTGATGGATGAATGGATTGATGGACTTATTAAGAAAAAAGATGGAAAGGCATCACCGTGGCGCAGTAGGTAGCATGATCACCTCACAGCAAAAAGATCACTGTTTCGCGCTGGGTCAGTTGGCATTTCTGTGCGGAGTTTGCATGTTCTCCTCACGTTTGCGTAGGTTCCTTCAGGTGTTCTGGTGTTCCCCTCTAGTCCAAAGACAAGGGTAAGCTAAATTGTCCATAGTGTGTGCGAATGAATGTGTATGGATGTTTCCCTGTGATGGATTGAACCTGGAAGGGTATCCACTGCGTAAAATATATGCTGGATAAGTTGGTGGTTAATTCCGCTGTGGCAACCCCTGATGAATAAAGAGACTAAGCCAAAAAGAAAATAAATGAATGTAGATAGATGGATGGATGGATTTATTAATAGAGAAAAATCAATAGATGGATGGATTTATTAATAGATAGAGTTGGGTGCATGAATGAATTTATTAAGTAGATAGATAGATGGACGGATGGATTCTTTGATAGCTGGAAGGATGGATGGATGTATGGATTCATTGATAGGCTTTATTGGGTTTGTTAACAAAAATGGATAGATGAGTGGATTTAATAATAGACAGATGAGTGGCATGGATGAATTTAATAAGTAGATAGGAAGATGGATAGATGGACGGATGGATTAATCAATAAGTGGATGGATGTATCATAGATAGGATTTATTAGATTCACAGACAAAAATAGATGGATGGATTTATTAATAGACAGAGATGGGTGGGTGGATGGTTGCATGAATTTATTAAGTGGATGGATGGATGGATGGATGGATTTATTGATAATTGGATGAATGGATGGGTGGATGGATGGATGGATAGATAGATAGATAGATAGATAGATAGATAGATAGATAGATAGATAGATAGATAGATAGATAGATAGATAGATAGATAGATAGATAGATAGATAGATAGATAGATAGATTCAAAGAGGATATAAAGTCACAACAATTTTATATTTTTATTCAGTTACAAACTTACATAATAGACAAATCATGAAATATTTAAATCCTGGACAACAAAAGTATACTGTCACATTTACTGCTCGACTTTCTGAAACCTCAAGGTCCTTCGGCAAAACTGCGAAAGAGCCGTCAGGAAGATCATGCCAATGACAGTGTGTCAGTTTCTCCAAAAATAACCTCTTTTGCTCCTTCCTCTCGTCTTCTGGTGAGTTCACACTGCTGTTTACTTCACTTTTTCCTCAGCTTCAGTGCAGCGTCAGGACAGCAGCTCCAGGCCTCAGAACACAACATCTTGTTCCTGACCAGAATGGAGAAAGTCACTTACTGTGAGACGTGTGATGCTGCAGACGGGCCTCGAGGAGGAGTGTGTGAGGTCAGAGGAAAATGATATGACTTTCTGAAGAGAGCTCAGTGTACAGCTAGCTACCAGTTTATGAAATAGATTGTAAAATACAACATTATTAAGGGGGAAAACTTGATTTGAGCTCTTTTTTGGTTGATATAGAAATTAAAATGCACTGACTGTATGCTCATTATTTTCCTATTATTCAACTCTCAAAATGTTTAAAGAGTTTCACTAGTTTTTCTATTTAAAGCTTGACTTTTGTAATTAAGTCATGTTCTAAGACTGACAGAAAATGAAACGTTGCTATTTACTCTCATTCTGGCATAATAATCAAGAAACTTTACTGCAGTACCATGACCGCAACAGGCGCACCTATATTACACAGAGTCTAACTGGTGCAAGGTGTCCGCTGGGTCTTAAAAAGTCTTACATTTCAAAAACTAAATTTTAGGCCTTAAAAATTTTTAAATTCACAGAAATTTTTGTCTTGCGGGTCCTAAATAATTGTAACCTGTCTTAATTTTCCTGTCTGTGTAAAGCAATTCAATCAAGCCAACTCGCATCCAATCACCAACCATCAGGGCTTAATTTGTGCCGGAACACGCCGGATCCGGCACCTAATTTTACCGTTTAGCGAAGTGCGCACACAGTCAGTGGAGGTGCGTGATGAGGCACCAGGCGAAAGTATAAATCCAGCTTAACAGAGATTTTCTTAAATAAGTGAGATGAAAAGTTTTGAAATACTTTCCAATGGAAAACTTGCTGAATTGAGCACGTTAATCATGTCTTCACTAGTCACATAGTGTTTTTTTTTTCTTGTTTCTTATTTACTGCCATTAAGGCAGCGTTAGCATTAGCCTTCGTGCTTTTTAGGCTAAAGGTTTCAGGCTTGCCTTCAATAAGCTTTGCTGGTTGTGCAAGTGAAGGGCTTGGTGCTATGAACTACTTTTAGACACTAATATCATTGTGCCTGCTGCAGCCATGGTACAGCAGCACATTCTCTTGATTAATATGCCAGAATGAAAGTAGTTCCCAGTCATATGTATCTAGAAAATAGCAACTTTTTATTTACTGTTGGTCTTAGTAGCCTACACAATGTAACTATAGAATAAGCTTTGAATAGGAAAAGAATCTAAAGTCTTTGGTTGTTTTTGAATGAGATGCTATTGGTCTAATCTGATTTAATGATTTATGCTAAGCTACGCTAAAAAGGCACCCATCATTCAAAAATTGCCAAAGTCAACTGTTTAACTGTTGTAAAATCAGCAGACTGGACTGTACCTTTAATTCTTTGTCTACAACTAACAACAAACTGTAATCTTTCTGAATTCACTCAGACTTATTCCTGAGCTCAGTCAGTGTTCAAACACCCCGTAGGCCTGTTTCTTTTTTGAGAGCTCACTTGATGATCTAATTAAATTAGTCAATTTTCCTTTCAGCCTCACTCATGACCGTCCTGTGATTCTGTTCTTGTCCTTAAAACCTCTCGAACTTTTCAGCACTCTTTAGCTGCAGCTTTGAGACCAGGAGTCATCATGCATTTCTCTGATGTGCTCTTTATTTGGATTGTGGCATTGGGAACATCTGAACTGAGCTCTGCAGGACCTCTTCATGCACAGTGCAAAGTCGAGTGGTGAAGTATCATCTTTTATCTTACTTTTTAAGAATGTGAAATCTTTAACATTTGCGGGAATATTTAAACAGTTAATCAATAATTCAGGCTAATGTAATCTATTTTCTGTAAAGTTTGCAATGATGTATAATGGATTTGATAATAGAACTAGAATTGTATGTTAGTTGTATCGATGTGATATGTGATTAAAACATTCACACACAAATTCCATTCGTTATAGCATTCCAACATTATGGATGTGACATTTGTAGTAAAAACTCAAACCATAAATTCACAGAGAAAGTATGTGTTAACATTATATTGAAGCATCTGTTTATATTTTACAGAACAACTCACCACAGAGTTATAGGATCAGAAAACTATCAATCTGTGAACATTTTTGATATTTTAAATGAGGAAAAAACACATGCATTATGGATGTGACCAAAAAAATCTGTGAGTTTACAGTATACTGCATACTTTGTAGAAATTCTGTGAAGTAAACTGCACACACCCCCCCCCCCCAAAAAAAAAAACAATGCTAATAAACAGGATAAGAGTTGCCTCACTATAGAACAATTATTATTATTATTATTTTTTTACATCGTTGTATTTATGAGAAAAAAGTTTTATTATGGACATCTCTTTGTTATGGATGTGACATGCTGTATGTGAAATTGTCACTTGTGTGACTGGTCAATAAAAAATAATATTTTTAAAACATTGACAGAGACATTTTTGAGTATTTTCACAGTCCTGTAAAATACAAGCCTACACAGAAATACTTCGAAACGGTTTGCTATTTTAGTAAAAACCTATTTTTTTTCATGGCAAGGTTGACACTTGCATGGAATTGCTGGAAATCTTAAGTGTTGGATTTTTACATTTTGATATTAAATGTTACACTCATGCTGACATTTTATTCAAATTGTTTTCTAAATTTCTTTTTTATTTTGACCATTATTAAAATAGTGGTAAACTGTACATATATTTGATTATAATATTTAATATTATAATATTTAAACAAAGTTTAATGTGGTATATTTGTGAGATTCATGTATAATTATGCTTCATTTTATTTTATTTTATTTTATTTTATTTTATTAACTACACTGTTCCAGCAGGTCCTCGCAACAAATATCTTGTTTGTCATGGGGGGCATGCATGAATAAAATGAAAGTGAAAGTGTCAAATTGCAGTAAAAGTCGACAAATCAATAATTTGGCAAATAATTTGCTTACTGATGTCCATGTAAATGTAGTCACTGTCTTTCTCGCCTGCATCTTTGTTTGTTTGCTTCTGAAAATCAGCAAACTGAAACTCCCCTTTTTATGCAAATCCTTCTCTCTTTCGCCACTCGACACTCCCACCTAAATAAAGCTGGACTCACCCACTTTTCTGACTTTTTTCAAACTAGAAATGTGAAAACACTCTGCTGAGACAGGGGGGTTTCATGGCCCTTTAAACTATCACATGACCATTCCAGGCCAATAATAAGATTATGATATTTTACAGAAAAGGATCATAAAAACCTATATACAATATTATATTACATTTTTTTATCATTGTTCTATTTTGATCTGTTAGAAATTTTTGTAGTGTGTAATATTTTAATGCTTAACGTTTAATAATATTAAGCAGTTGAAAACTATAAAGATATTTTTGGTGCAAATCTACCAAGCAGCTGTAAAAGTGTCATTTGTTGTTGTAATGAATAGCCACAAATCTGTATCAGTAAATTTGTACTCACAGAGGAAATTTGCAAATGTGTACACCTTTTTAAAACCTTCATTGCAGGTCCACAAATCCCTGTTTTTCCACTAGGTGGCAGCTTCAGCCATACTTAAAATTGACTGTTTGTTATTCCCAGGTACTTCAGTCTGCCTTGCAGGAGTGTGTCTGAATCTCTGGTCACACAGATCAAGAAGTGGAGAACATTCTCAACGTGCGCCACAGGAGGAGAGAAATGTCTCTACAAGGTGTGTTTCGTGATGTAATGTGGTGCTTATATGAACCAGTTTATGGAATCACTCCACTTTATTTTGGAATAGGCTGATCTTAAAACTCCCCTAGAATTATACAGTGGAGTTTTACTATTTTTGAACTTATTTGGCTGATATCCGAGTCTGAAGAGAGCACTTTTAGCTTAGCTTAGCATAGATCATTGAATCAAATTAGACCATTAGCATCTAGTTTAAACATTTTTTAAAAATAGTTTTGATCGTTTTCTTATTTAAAACCTGATTCTGCTGTATCAACATTATTATCATCATCATAATATCGTTTACTAAGACTGATGGAAAATAAAAGTTTTTTTTATTTTTTATTTTCTGCCGTACCATGACTGCAGCTGATGCAATGATAATACTCAACGACAATGATAATACGCAGCACCTGAAAATAGACTCAACAAGGGAATTAGGAAAATTTATAAAACTTCTTTGAATTTTGTGTTTGAGAAGCTAATGGTCTGATCTGATTCAATGATTTATGCTAAGCTAAGCTAAAAGTGCTCCCACTAGACACCAAGATGGGCTGAATGGATTGAAAAATTGTTCAATTCAACTGTTTAACTGGGAGTTGTAAGATTAATTTAAGAAATAAGCTTCTATAAGTATATGAATATGAATATTTAGCATTGTTTCTCTGTTATTTAGTTGCAGTCAGCATCGACGCACTTCATTTCCGCCAAACACACAACGCCAGTGAAGAAATATGTTGATGACATCAACTTCAGACTCACCTCCTATGGGTTTTTTACACACTGTCATGTATCTGTAAGTGTAACTATAATGTAGACCAGCGGTGTCCAAACTCGGTCCTGGAGGGCCGGTGTCCTGTAGAGTTTAGCTCCAACCTTAATCAAACACAACTGAACCAGCTAATCAAGCTCTTACTAGATACACTAGAAGCCTCCTGGCAAGTGTGTTAAAGCAAGTTTGAGCTAAACTATGCAGGACACCGGCCCTCTAGGACCAAGATTGGACACCTCTGATGTAGACCAACAACTAAGGGATTATTTATACACAACAAATAATCTTTTAAACTTATTCCGCATGCAGGCCATGTCAGTGTCAGAGACCTGGTATGCCATCACTGATCACGGCACTAACTACTGTAACCTTTACAATTTGATTGAAGGTAAAACTGGTTCAAAAATTAATATCAGATTGCTTTTGATTAACATGGCATGAATGTGCTGAGTCTTATTGTGTGTGTGTGTGTGTGTGTGTGTGTGTGTGCGTGCGTGCGTGCGTGCGTGCGTGCGTGCGTGCGTGCGTGCGTGCGTGTGTGTGTGTGTGTGTGTGTGTGCGTGCGTGTGTGTGTGTGTGTGTGTGTGTGTGTGCAGGAAGTGGATTGACTGAAGCTCCAGGATATAAAGAAATCACCAGTGACTTCCTGTGCACTCAGCGCTCATCTGCTAACTGTACCATTTACTGAGACATCTTTATATATATTTTAAAATCATTTCTGGATGTTTGTACCTGTAGTCTAGTAGAATTAGAAATAAGGTCATGACAATAGTCATACAATTGAAAATAAAAGTACTTTTAATCAACCTACGGTTTGTAAAAATAAAATGAGTCTGTTCTAAATGTGCTTTACTGTACATGTACACACATAAAGCATTCGTTGCATTATTCATTTATATTCCTTAGCTTAGTCCCTTTGTTAATCTGGGGTCGCCACAGTGGAATGAACCGCCAACTTATCCAGCATATTTCTTATACAGCGGCTGCCCTGCAGCTGCAACCTAGTACTTGGAAACCCCCCATACACACTCATCCACACACATACAGTACGGCCAATTTAGTTTATTCAATTCACCTATAGCGCATGTCTTTGAGCTGTGGGGGAAACTGGAGGAAACCCATGGTGACACGGGGAGATTTGTTGCATTAATATTGCATATATACATTTTTTTACAGTACATTTAATTAAATAAATGTGTCTTTGGTAAACGCAAGACTCTGATTAATAAGATGACAAATATTTACCTGTTGAAGAGTTGTGTTTATTTGTGTTATTTTAGTAGAACACGTCTACTTTTTATTTTAATGTTGTAGCAAAGATTGTGGAGCAAATCTATAACTGACAATGAACAAACTGTTTATTAACTATAAAAAGATTAATGAATACTGTAACAAATGTGTTATTATCAATGTTAATATGTTAGTTAATGATGGGTAATGATGGTAATTGATAAATATTAAATAAAATATACGAAATCCTGGATTTCACTGTCAAATTATTTTAATAAAAATTTTAAATTTTACTTAAAAAAAATATTATCTTGGTGATATAAACAAACATTATATGATACAATTACTCCTCTTAATCTTTTAATTTGTCACATCCTTCAATAGAAAATACAGGAAACTGCCCTCGTCTTATTTGAGTATTTAATCGTCTTCCTTTATTTACTTACAGTACTGAACTTATAATGGCTCATGAATCAAAGTATCTTCCAATGTTTCCCCTTTTGTACCACTCCAGAAGACTAGACTTTTGTGCTTTTGCTCTATATTTTTCTCCTCATTCAGTTCGGATGACTGTGACATTTCATATGCTGTTCTTAGCACAATGTTTGGAGACAAATATAGCAGTTCTCAGTGGTGTTATGCACGGACATTGTTCTCTCTAAGGGCAGCAATATGCTCGGAAGGGTGAAGACATCCATCATGGTTGTCTTTTACTCTCATCAGCGCAGGTCCTTCTGCCGGAGCGAGACAATCTCTGGGCCGCTTGCAGGAGGGATGTCACCGGTAGAGGGAGCTGATGCCAAGCGTTGGTATTACAGCCTGCAACATTTTGATGAGTGTTTTAAGGCAAGATTTTGGGCTTTTTATTAAGTGATTTGTTTTTAATGTATAGAAAACATGCTAAATACTATTTGAAGCGTTTTCATAAACGTGAAAAGATTACATATGTACATATTTATACATAACCTAGCATGTTGGAAACAGCGTAGGACAGAAAAATTACAATTTGTAATGTAATCAACCAACTGGAAGCATGGTGAAAATGATAAGCTTTTGTTTTTACCATTTTCACCTGTATTGCCTCAAAATGATTACAAATAGCTTGAATTTCTTGCTATTTGTTTTATAAAATATATTTTATTTTAAAATGTTCAGTTTGCTCTTCCACATTGGTCAAAATAATTGAAGGGTCCAATAAAAGGAAAGTAGGAGGAGTTTTATTTTTCGGTGCACGAATTCCCGCGCAATTGTTTCAACGGTTGAAGAGTGAGGTGAGATGTCGGTTGCAATATAATGAATATTTATCAACTGTTTTATGATAGAAGCATAAAACATTAGTAGATAATAGCTTACTTTACAAACTGCTGCACTTTACTTAAGAATTCAGGCATATTATCTTCATAAAATAATGTTTTTTTTTTTTTTTAATTTATTAAGCTGTGAAACATTTATTTTCAAAATTGTGCACACATTACATCTACACTGTATCGGATAAGAAACGTGTTTTTTAAAGGTGAATGTTTTTATTTTTACCATGCTTTTTCCTTTGTATTTATTGCAGTTTTTGTAAAATTAGACTCACGTAGACCGCATAAAAAGAGATTAAAACATTTAAATTATTTTAATATTTACAGTCCTCAGCATAATTGAGTACACCCCATTTAAAATGAATATTTTTTATCCATTTCTCAGTGAATATAGACAATGTGTTTTGGTGCATTTAAACAAAACAGATTTATTAAACAGATATATTTATTAAAATAATATTTTAGACACCAAACATTTTTAGAAATTGAAAGATAATACAATTAAATTCAAGCAAAATATTGCAAAAAATAAATGGGCTCTATGCACAGCTAGAGTTTTAAAGCAGATGATTTAAATCAGTGGTTCTTGTTCGATCTGAGACCCACTTCATATCGTATATCTAACAGGCAGTGAAGATAGCTGATTTTTAAGGAAATCAGATCTTAAACATGACAATTTTGTAATGGAAAGACAGCTCATCGGAAGCCCTTGGGCTGCCTGGCTAAAAATGAAAGTCCATGTGCATAGCCCATTACAACATAAAAAATTTCAACTAAATTTTTCAAAATTTTATTTTGCATCTCTTGATATTTCCTTTTTTAAATATTTAATATTCTTCTTTAAATTTGGGTGTACTACTTATTGGACCGATATTGTAAGTTATTTTTGTTAGATAAGCTCCAGATTTGGCTTCAGTACTGACTCATCTAATGTATATACACAAATATATTATTTTATAGCTTCCGATATGAATTAAAAAACGATTTGTGAGGAGTCTACTTATTAGGGTATGACATTTAGTAGAACATCTGAGAAAATTTCTAACATAAAGAAATCTATATTCTAAAAAGTCAACAACAAAATAATATAAAACTCCTAAACATACACATTCAAATAAAAACAATCAATTTGTCATGCTGCAATGATTTGTCCATGAGTTTACAAAACGAAATTATTTAGAAAAATATATAAGATGCTGAAAATGTTAAATTCGCAAAAGTTATTTGAAGCAAATATAAGCACTGTAAAAACACGGGATTCCACACAATCGATTTGTGTTAAAACAACATGAAGAAATGAAGTTAACAGTTAGTTTGTTTTTACAAATTTAAGTGGATCGAACATAAAACAATTATGTTGGGGAAAAAAACCCTGCATGGATCATTTTAAATAAGTAGTTTGAACAAATAGCAAACCTAATTTTTGTGAGTGAGTTTATACAATTTCAAAGAGCCAGGTCTTTTATACACTGGTTTAAATAACCAAAACAGAGGTTTGCATTTTATATTCTTTGAAAAGATATACAGTTGAAGTCAAAATTATTAGCTCCCCTGAATTATTAGCCCCATTATTATTTTTTCCCCCACTTTCTGTTTAATGGAGAGAAGATTTTATCAACACATTTCTAAACGTAATAGTTTTAACAATTCTAATGACTTTATTTATTTACTTTATCTTTGCTATGATGAAAGTAAATAATATTTGACTAGATATTTTTCAAAACACTTCTATACAGCCTAAAGTGACATTTAAAGGCTTAACTAGGTTAATTAGGTTAACTAGGTAGGTTAGGATAATTACGTAAGTTGTTGCATCACAATGGTTTATTCTGTAGACTATCGAAAAAATATATAGCTAATAATAATAATAAAATAATAACTAATAATACCTTAAAATGTTTTTTTAAATTCCAAACTATTGAATATATTCTGAAATAAAACATATAAGACTTTCTCCAGAAGAAAACATATTATCAGACATACTGTGAAAATTTCCTTGCTGTGTTAAACGTAATTTGGTAAATATTTAAAAAAGAAAAAAATTCAAAGGAAATTTAATAATTCTGATCTTAACTGTATTAGCATTGTTGATCAATACATTTGTTACAGAATTCATTAATCTTTGCTAAAGTTAGTTAATAAACACTTTTTTCATTGTCAGTTTTGCTTCACAATATTTGGAAATAGGCCTACAGTAAAATAAAAAGATAAAAAATAATAAATGTAAATAATAAAAAGGCTTTGTTTATTAACTTATGTTTAAAATAACATTAAAAGAGAGATAATACATCAAGACATTTAGATTTATTCAGGTTTTTGACCAAAGTGATTTAAAAATAATGCAAGTCAAATCACCAGAAGAACAAAAACGTAAATGTTGTGACGAGTCTCAGTTTGTCTAGCACATATAGTGTACAAAATATTTATTAAAGTATTAGTTAGGTTACTAGAATTATTTGTTTACATTTTTATTAAATATAATATTGACCTTAAATGACTTTTAAAAAATTCAAAACTGCTTTTATTCTAGCTAAAATAAAACAAATAAGACTTTTTTCCAGAAGACAAAATATTATAGAAAATACTGTGAAAATTTGCTTGCTCTTTTAAACAGCATTTGTGAAATAATTTAAAAAGAAAAAAAAAAAGGGGGGGGGGGGGCGTTAATAATTCTGATTTCAACTGTATATAATACAAAAGCAATGTGATTGTGTTGAGAGTTCATGAAAGCGATTGGACAGTCTCCTGAGTGAAAGACTGAAATGGTCCCTCTCAGGTGTGAGAAGTTTAAGTAGCAGAAAGAAGAAAGGTACTCCATTACATCCCAGAATATTGCAGAGATTTTTCACATTTACCGAACCATTACTGTAGACTGAGAGACACTGTATTAAATAATGTCACACTGGAACCCACACAAGCCTTTTATAAAACTGCAGAATCTGTGCCATGAGGAGTATTTTAAGCCATATCTGTAAACAAGCGATATAAAATTAGTATTATAGCATGCATTCAAGCTCATTTAATATTTCATTATAGCTCAAGTTTGTATGATTAATGTAACATCTGTTTGTTCTCTGTTCCTCTTTTTTTGTATGGTTATTTCCACACAGGGAGCATTTTGAATGTCTCCCAGAACAGAGTTAGTGGGATTTAACCAGTCTAGCCCTCAACGTTACGAAGTATATCATTGATGAAAGGGTGCACAATCCTTTCAAAACCAATTAAAGAGGCCTTAGCCCGCAGCGGTGGTGAGCGAAGGGCTGACAGGG